TAAAATATTATTTTATTTATTTATATACTGTAATTAAAAAATTTATTTTATTTATTTGTTTAATTAAAAAATTTTTTTGATGATCATAAAAATGTGCGCATTTATTATGTAACACAAACCCCGGCATAAAATTTCCAACACTGATCATAATACGGTATTATTACCCAAATTAGCAATCCATGTTCCAAATTTAGTAAATTTGATAGCAAATTCAATAGTGACACGATTTACATGCGCACATTCCACAATCGGAAAAAAATTTTAGTTGCTCTCTATTTCTGGTCCATTTTAATAATATATATCATTAAATGATTACTCAATGTATTTATTTTTTATTAAATTTTGTTGAGAGAATATTCTTCCTATTTTAAGAATAAATGTTATACAGTCGGAACTCGTTAAACCGGTGTGCCTCAAAACATCATTTTATCGAATATTCGTTTTATTATTATTATTATTGAGTAGTCTTCGATAAAACGAAGTTAATGTATTTTTTTAAAAAAAAATTCGGTTTAAAGCGTTATACATCAAAATTTACGTTGAAGAACAATATGTACTACTTGTACTACTGTAAATCATTTATAAAATTATACAAAATAAAGCGATGTTTCGATCAATAAACCGTATTATTCGTCTCATCGGGTTATATTTAATATATGTGGAACCATATGCAAACCCCGTCTTAAACATTTAAGTGAAACAATAGAAATATTTGTCTTATCGAGTTAAATGACTAGAAAAACTTCGTTATAACAAAAATTCGTTTTATCGAGTCACGTCTTATCGAGTTCCGACTGTAGTTGGATAATCTCTATCCAATTTTTAAGACCAGAGATAACATTCCCACTCTTGTTTAAGTTTTTATTTGTCAATAATTTTCCTAATTCAATTCTATTTATTAGTATTTTCATAAAAATCGCCTAAAAATTCTATTTTCGATTTCCATACTAATTCTCTGTCAATACAAAAGAATTATTAGATTGATCATAATATTAGTACATCAGACAGTGAAAAAATATTATTGTCTAAAATCATATTGTTTGATGCTTGATGCATTATATGTAAATATTGTTTAATAATTAATAATGAAAATTTTAAATTCGCGGTCATTGATTTAATATTATTGTTACTATTTATTATTCAAGATCGTTACGTATAAACATATGTATATATATATTTAGTAGATATTCAACAACATTTCAAAAAAAAATCTTTTGTAACTGTGTTGTTCATTCTAGTTTCAGACCAGTTTTTGCTTTAGTAAAAAAAATTCCATCATAATTAATGGTTTTATTTTTAGTTTGATAAATTCAATATTATTGTGAAATTGGTATTTGAAGTCGTAAATAAAAATTCTCCCTATTTCATTTCAAAAAATTATTTTAAGCAACATGATCTTTGACCCATTTTTAATGCAAAGCTATTTCGGATGGCTGATTGGTCTATCTGTTATGGTAATATATATATAATTATTTAAACAAATATTTAAAAATATTTTATTAATATTTTATTTGCATAATGCGTATTTTTGAATTTTAGGTTCATTTCCACAATCTCGTTATTTCAACCTTATTGTATAAGGTTCGAAAAACAAAAGTCTCAAATATTCTAAAAATCATATTTAATATTGGTGGACTGCTTAGAAATATAGGACAACTATGGTTTATAGTAGTTCCAGTTGATGTAACAATCATCGAGTGTAAATTGGCAAGCTATTTTTTACCAATAGCAAATGTAATTTATAAAAGTGCTTTGGTTGCATTCTTGTTGTGGCGGTTAAGACAAATCGAAAACATAAAATTGGATGTATGGGTAGGATCAATATTATTTGTTGGTAGACTTCTCTTTCATGTATGTATACAATCATTATTTTTTTCATCATTTATATTTATAAGACAATTATCATTATTATTTATTCTCTTTTTTCCTTGAATACTTTTACAAAAAAATAATAGTTAGCACCACCCATAATTGGAATTAAGTCGAATGTTAATTATGATGTAGGAAATAAATCATTTAGGTGTTCATCTGATATTGAACATAACAAAGTTTCAATAATTGGAGCCCTTGTATTTGAGTTTGCAATTTATTCTTTTGTCACTTTCCGATTAGTAAAAATTTTGATCAGGGCAAATAAATATTCTATTTTGATGAATAATACAAGAAACTCAAAAGGAAGTTTATTTACAACAGTCATGTATTGGAATTTTATTAGAGTGTTTTTGGCAATTATTTCTGATACAATTGTCTTATCATATACATTACTTGGATTTTACGAAGATCATGATCTGGATCATGCGTTTATTGAAGGCAATATACAAACTGTATTATACATATGTTTATCATATTTTATAACTGCTGATGTAGAAATTGTGAAAGTGGTTGAAGGTAGAAAAAATGTTCCTAGTGACTCAACTAGAATTGATACCTCAACTAAAGGAAGCATGTCGGAAATTTCAGGAAGCAATAGTGCATCCGATCAGAGTCTAGAATCAGTTCAGTTCACTTCTGAATTATCAGAATCCGAGGAAAAAAATTCTAGTGATATTATAGATGAAGGTAAAATTGCCATTGTGTCAATGAAGAAATTGTCATTTACTGAGTGCGCAAATTTAGTAATGGATGGTATCAAAAATGATGATACCGATGGTGGTGAGTTATACGAAGGAAAACAATTAGAAGTGATTAATGAAGAAGTTACAGATAATAATTTTAGTGGGACGACGTTAATGACACTTAGGACAACAAGAACTTTAAATGATGAACTTGATGTATAATATTTTTTAAATTTTGTATTTATTCCTTCTTATCTTTTCAATTTAAATCTTTGTATTATTTATATAAATTTTTCAATTTAAATCTTTGTATTATTGATATAAATTTTGGTGCTAATTGTTTATTAATAAAATACGAAAATTCCCAAATCTCACTGTCCTCACATGTTAACTCTCATGTATACACAAAAAGTATAAAGAATAAACCTTAGAATTCTTTCAAGATCGTTGAATACTACTTTAAAATTCTTTTGCAGTTATTTTATTGACTTGACTTATAACAACATGTGGTTCATTAAAAGTTTTTTTTTGATAAACCGATAAAAAAAAATGTATAGCTCTGGTCAGAATACTTGATAGTGTTGGCTGAAAATCAAAAAATTCCAGCTTCCTACATATAAACGTTTTCAAGAAACATTCCAAGCCCTTTAATATTTTGATAGAATAATCTATGAGATTTACTTTATACATAAAAAAAATAAAGTTTGTAACACCAAAACATCGTGCCTTATTATTACCATTTTTGCACCGCCGACCACTATAATTCTTTGCTCCGCCTTAAATATGAAACGCTACTTTTAAAAACAATCAGTGTATATTTACACGAAGCATAAATAAAAAATTGTCATACATAAATAAGAATATCAGTTGATAATCTTTTTACTGTCTGTTTTAAAAATAAAATTCACAAAAAATTTTTTTGTTCTCTATTGTTATCTTATTCATAATACATTAATGTCCTAATGAATTTATTAAAGTTTGAAACAAATTTTAAGATTTCAAATTGTATTGTTCAAAAATTATATAATTTTAATATTAATATTAAGGAAAAACAATTCTTGAAAATTTTTTAAAACTTCAAAACAAACTTTAAAGATAAACTGACACAGCAATAATGTACGAACCATTTTTGACGATAGCTTTTGCTGGATTTTTCAATGGTCTTTACACCATGGTAACGTGAATAAAAAAAAAACTTACAAAAATTAAATTAATTAATTAATAATTTATTTTAATAATAATAATGGTTTATTTGAATAGACGCACCTTCATAATTTGTTTGTTTCGATAATATTGTATAAATCTCGAGCAAATTTGCTGAATATTTTTAAAATTTTGTATAATTTCGGAGGATTAATTAAAGCTATATCTCAAGTTTGGCAATTATTAGTACCAATTGATGTGACAAAAGGCCAATGTATTGCATTAACAAGTTTAGTTGTTACAGGAATTTTTATTTACAGAACTGCATTTCAAGGATTTTTGTTATGGCGACTAAAAAATATTGAACATAAAAAAAAAGATTTATGGATTGGTGTCGCGCTATTTACTACCAGAGTTGCTTTTAATGTAAATATATATAAATTTGTTTAGTTATTATTATATATGTGCAACTTGCTAATTATTTTTAATTCTAATTGGGTATTTATTTTTTTAACAATAGTTTGCTCAATTTTTCCAAATAAAACCAGAAGCAGTTTATGATCCCGATGAAGATGCCTATTATTGTAATCAGGGATTAGACCTAGCCAGGACCCAAGTATTAGGATACATATCAATTGATTTACTAATTGAATGTTATGTGACATTTCGTTTTATGCAAGTTTTAACCAAAGCAAATGAAACTGCAGTTGAATTAAAAGGAGGAAAAAGAAGTATGTTTACTGCAATCATCTACTGGAACTTTTTAAGATTATTTCTTGCAATTAGTCAAAGTGCAATGTTCGTAGGTTGGACAATATCTGGAATCTATAGAAATAACGACAAAGAGTTGGCCCTTTATATAAACAGTACGCAGACATTACTTCTAATAGGATTGTCATATGCAATAACTATTGATGCGGAGATAGTGAGAGTAATTGAAGGTAGAAAACCATCAATCGGTTCTAAATCATTCAAAAATATAACACGATATTCTAGAAATGCATATATTCCTAATAAAAACATCCAATCATTTCGAACATCATCTAGTGAGACTTCAAACAATTCAGCAACGGTAATTGAATCATTAGATAATACTGATGATAATGAAATTATTTCTATAGAAGAAAATCAAAATCCATCAGTTAAAAAATGATCATCATTTTACGAGGGGGAAAAATTGTGACAGATAAAAGACTTACCAAAGAATACGATGGTTTAGTAGTAAATGAAGGAACCCTCTGTTAATATTACGAGTAATGATCCTATAATTAATCGGGAAGATCAAGAGATAGTAAATGAAGGTGAAACAAAAGAACCTTCTGTTAATATCCTATAATTAATTGAGAGGATAGCAACAATGTTAGAGGTAGTGCGACAAATAAAACTAGTGAATCGATTTATATTGTATAAAGATTTAGATTTAAAACATATTTATTATATTTATTTATTTATTTTTATTTTTAATATAATAATTTTGTTTCTATATATTATGTGCATAATTGTATATAAAAATTTTCTATATCATATTTGTAGATTTTTAATAAAATCTTAAATACTAATGGACATTTATTCCAATTAAAATTGCCAAAAAAAAAAGGTATAACGGACAGTCTTAAAAACAATGGTAGAATCCGAATTCATTGTAAAATATAAAAATTAAAAATTTAATCTTCATAATAAAGACAACTCTACTATTAAAATAATTAAAGCAAAGTAAAATTGCACCATTAAGGCTTTCTAATGAAATATTTTTTTATACGTATAAAAAGGAACTCTCCATGTAAAGCCATGGCATTACATTTTAACTTCAAAGAAATATTTTCTTTTCAACTTTGTTGTAAATGTCTTGAAAATCAGTGAAAGATATACTTTATTTTTCGCGACAGATTTTAATTTATTTTTCGCGACAGATTATTAAATCAACTACTTTGATTTTTGCGATACATTACTAAATTCAATTACTTTATTTTTCGCGACACATTACCAAATTCAATTATTTATTTTTCGCGGCACATTACCAAATTCAATTATATTATTCTTCGCGACACATTACTAAATTTAATATTTGTAAAAAATTTTTGCGACAAATTACTAAATTCAAACTCCATTATGACAAATAAGGAATGATCGATAAATGTTATTATATCGAGTAAAACTTCGCTATATTGTTACATATTAAAAATCACTATATCAAGCAGAATTTATATATAACGTGAAATTTTCCATACTTCACTATATCTTACGATCCACTATATAGGGGTTCACCATATTAATAACTAGGACCCAAGCAATTAATATATAAGCCAGGGGAAGGTAAATTTTTTTATGATAGTAATAGTTCTACGTATGAGTTTTTACCAATATCAATACGCATCTTTGGAATCTAACTTCGAAATTTTTAAATAAGCAAATTAATTATTTGACCTTTAATTATTATTAATTTCAAGTTTTTTATTTATATTTAACATTCTAAATCCTATTAAAGTGAAATTTTACTAAAGAATTATTTTTTGAATGATATCTTTTCGACCAAAATGATCAAAATAATATCTTTTTCCATTTCCTAGTAACTTTAAAAGTTTAACAAGTAAAACAGGCTATGTTTGAATTAAATATTTAACTCTTATTATAATATATCCTAATTTGTAATCAAAACAAGCATTCTCAAAACGTGAGATCAACTTTTTCGGAAATTTGGCTGATTTTATGCAAATACAAAACCCTACAACTGAAAAGGTCAATAAATTTGTTACTCTATATAATAATAGCTCAGGGTCCTCGCCAATTGTATAAAAGTCAGCTATAACATCCGTGTAACTAAAATTATTATTATTGAAATACAAAAGTCGGGCGCATTTTTGAACAAAAATTGCACGAAAACGTATTTAATAATAATTAAATTAATATTAAAAACCATTGTTTTGCAACTTAGGTTAGTCGAATTATATATGCAAAATTTCACATCTCTTAAACTAGTGATTAAAAAAATAAATTTCGAAACCTAATGCGCATGTTGTTACACAGTAACAATAAATCGGAGTTGAAGTTGATTGTGTCAAACACAAAGTGACACAAATTCGGAAAATACAAAAACTAATGCGCCTTTGACCATAAATTAAGAATGAGTAGGAAGGTGGCTGATTGATTTTTAGAACAATACAAAAAAAAGTTATTCTTGTTTTGTGATTTTTTTTAGCACTTTCACGTCCATGTTATAAATTTTAGAGATTTAATAGAGGAGATTTCTCTACAAATGATATAAATGGTAATGATTGAATTCAACGAGAATTACACGTTGCATTGGATATTTGCTTAATAAAAGGATCGAAAAAACATTTTTCCTTTAAAATTTAAATATCATTAAAAAATCAAAAATAATAAAAATAATGAAGGTTTATATTATCATCTTAATATCAATTTCAATATTGGTGAGTGAATTCGATTGCTTCAAATTTTTAAAGAATTTTTTCCTCAAATATTAAAATCTTTTTTTTTAATACAGGTTACATTCTATAATATTTATAAATCAATCAAAAAATCAAATCCTCTAAAAATACTTTACAATCTTAGTGGATTGGTTTTTTATGCTACACGTTTAATCATAGAATCAAACCATTCGTATTCTTATTGCATACCAAATGTATTTCTAGGGATAATAACCAGCTTCATGCATTATGAAGTATTGGTTGTATTCCTATTGTGGAGATTGGTTCTAATAGGAAACACGAAGATTGACATTATAGTTGGAACAACTTTTCTCGCTATTAAAACAATATTTAATGTAAGAGAGAGAGTCCTTTTAAATTACCCCACGCTAAATAATCTTTTATTAATTTGATTATTAAAGTATTTGGTTTTTCTTTTATTAATTAATTAGATAATTTTTATTTCAACGAGAAGACCAACGACAAATTCAAATAATAATAATAGTGAGGAAAGTGAATGCGATGATGGATTAAATGCCAATATAATAGCATTTTATTGCTATATAGCAATAGATTATGCTACAATGATCTACGTTGGAGCCAGAGTATTTGGATATTTAAAGAAAAATCTTGGTTATTTAAAAACAAATTTAGGAGAAAATCATCAAAGATACAAAGCATTTAAAACCTTTTCAAGGTGGAATTTATCAATTTTATTACTTGCATTAATACAAATATCATTCATAAATATTGATGATTATGGCCATTATATTAGCTTTGATGAGAAAATCAGATCCACCATCAAAACATTAATTTATATAATTATATCAAGTCTAATAAATTTGAACTTTGATAGTTATTATAAATTAAAAAATGAAGATATTGCTACAAATAATCAAGGAAGAATATTTGTGAAGAATGATCTAGAAACAAATCCGCCACAAGATGTAATTATACCACCTTTAGCACACATTAGATCTTCTGGCTCTTTCTCTGCTAAATCATCAGCTTCATCCGAGTCAAACGGACAACAATTTTATACTACAGTTGAAGAGTTGGGAGATGGTAGAGAAGCTGTAGTTTCACTTAAACAATTAACATTTGATGAAATACTTTTTTCTGTATTTAGAAAAAAATAAAATAAATTTTTTGTACAAGAGAACCTCGTGAACACTTATTATTGTTATTAATAATAATAGATTTTTTCTAAATGTATGATAAATATTTACATCTCTATTGAAAAGTTGTTTTTTTCTGGTTTTTTTTTTCGAAATAAATTTTTGTCAAATAATAAAGATTAGATTTATTATTTACGCCTACTAAAGCTCCTTTGGAATGATTATTATTTCCAAAAATATAAATTATTATTGTTTACTCCATTCAATCCATTTTAAGAAATGATCTGCCAATTACCGATATTTTTCTTTGACAATTCAAAACCATATTTAAAAAAAAAAATTAATCATAAAATTAATCAAGTTCAGTATCAAGTTTCTATCATTCGGGTACCATTTTGTTTAGGCGCGAATTTGATATAAATAATTTCTTAATTTAGCGTAAATGATTTGACGGCTTATTACGCTAATTAGTGGTAAATTAAAAATAAATGCATCAAACCAAAATAACTTTTCATCTAAATAAGTTAATCACGTCCCTAAATAAATAAACACATAAATGAAAAGTAGATTCTGTAATATAACTCGTTTTTTTTCAAACTAATTATAAGATAACTGCAGAGAATAATAATAATAACAACAACAATAGCTAACAACATGCGACCTTGATAACAATCGCAACTTTAGTGGCGACAATACCAACAACAGCAACAACAACAATAATAATAATAACAAAGAATTGTCAAATGGTCATTTAGTTGACATCATCAGAGCCCAGGTTTCAAAATCATTCGCCAAAAAAGTTGTTTCACACACACAATATGAATAGATAATATTTGTTTATGCGAAATAGTCTTTCATTGCAAAAATATAAAAAGAAATTTTGACTGAATTCTATTTTTGTTCTCATTTATATATCAAATATATAAATACTAATATATATCAAATATATAAATACTAATAAATATCAAATATATAAATACTAATATATTGAATGGTAAAATAATTTGCCGATTTTTTTTGTAAAGAGTTCCTGATAAAACACTTGAAACTTTTATTTAGTTTCTCTTTCCTTTCTTCTTACATTTACGTGTGCTACTAAAAAAAAGAAAAAAAAACCCCAAAAATGTTGAATGATTCTGTAATCGCGTTCTTTGTCGGAGTTGCGACAATGGTAGCACTTTTTTTTTTAAAAGTTTCAATTCTGATTTCTAATTTCTAGTTCTCAATCGAACTTTTTATTTTTATTTTTATTTTCAAAAAATAGTTTTCGTTTCATAATTTAATAGTTTCGATATTAGATTACCTACAACGTCATCGTTATTATAATAAAAAATCCTCGGCGACTTTGATTGTATTTTTAAAATTTCTTTTCGAAATTTTTAATATCACACGGCTTATTTGTAAATTTGGATTGATTATTATTACAAAAAATCCAAATGATACGGACGATATTCAATCAGTCGCGGATTTCTTTTTCATGGAAGCTATTGCTTTATTCCTCGTTTGCAATCTAAGGCATAGCAACAAACAACTTTTTATGAGTTCTTTTTTGCTGATTCTACGAACAATGTTTAACGTAAGCAAAAAAAAATAAAACCAAATTATTTTTTATTTTTATTTTTATTTTTTTCCATTTAAATAATTAAATATATTTTTTTTAAAAGATAATTTATATCACTTCGACACGTGAACGCATCGTATATTTACGACTTTCAGTATCGATTGATTTAATCATTGATATTTTATCAGTGTATAAATTATTTAAATACTTTGAAGAATTTCGTTTGATTCTTCCCCATCAACGTCAACTTCGCGAAACCACTACAATTGATTGGAACGTTTTAAGGATGGCCATTATAATTGTACAACATTTGATGTTACTATCAAACACATTTGTTGTTAATAATCACGATGATTATTTGGTTTATATTAATATTTACAAACCAATTGCGGAAATCGTGATTCAAATTTCGCTTTCATATTTAATCATGTTAGATATGGAATTTATCAAAAATGAAAATGAAAATTTCATACCGGTTGAAAAATATGGTAACATGACTGATTTTTTTTATTCTTTATATTATTTGCGTTCGAGTGTGGCGCATATTAATTAACATTTAATTTTTGTGACATCCTGAAAAAAATTTTACATAAAGATAACGACAACCTTTTAGGATCAGAAAATTCCATTGAAGACCTGGACGAAAACACAAAAGTTATGGTTTCCGCCCAAGGATTCGTTATTAAACTAATGGGTTTTATCAATAACGATAATTGATATTTAATTTTTATTTGTTATCATTATAATAATAGATAGAAATAAATTTTAATGTTACCGTAAAATTTAATCATTATCATTATCATTATTGTTGTTACTTACCTTGGTTCTAATAATCTATCCTTACAATTATTACCAAAAAATGAAATCGTTACAGGTCCAGGTTATAATAGCAATAACACCATAACAATCATTCCATGTTCGCAAGTATTCTGATAACTTAAAGGCTGTTGGCAAAGCATGAAACTGCGCCATATTATATCATTCTACTGTTTGCCAATATCTATTTTGAGTTTGGATAAACTAGCATCGATTTAAAAAATCAAATCTGTTAACCAAAGATCCGTCCGTAGATAATGTACGAATGGCCCGTTGCCAACCAATACCAGTCGCTTTCTTTTATAATCCAACATATGTATTCAAACAATACAGCCCCATCTAGTAAATATTCAGCTGTCTGTCGAGTATAATAGTCCTTCGGGTTTGTGGGTTGAGCCTAAAGTGTATAGATAGAAATAATGAACGTTGTGAATTTTACAAATACGACAAAATATTTAAACCAATTTCGACAACGATTTCAATAATAATGTTTCATCAACATTTTTTTTTTTTTTGGTGTCGAATATTATTTACCACCACCTTTTCCTCGTCAGTTGCGATAAATCAATTTGGTAGAAATATCAAAAATACAATCCCCCTCTCTCAACGTCTCAAACGAAAACCCCGAGAATACCACTACCAATTGCATATAATATCAAGTCTTGTACAAGCTAAAGATGCTGCAATTATTTTAGATGTCATTATATAAAGCATCAATACCTTGTCCAATTCAAGATTAATGGTTAAAAAAACTTTATAGATTTCAGGTAAAGTTAGCATCATCAGTTTTATAAAGAAGTTTTGTTTCAACAAAACACCCTTTTTTATTTAGCCTATCGATATATTCAATCTACTTTCACTAATCTAACCAATATCGCTGGATTTGATAAACCAAGAAATTCCATATTCTCAAGGATTTTCGATGTTTCCTTTATAAAGTTATTGACATTTTATTTTATTTAAGGAAAAAAAAAAGTGATTGATAATCGAAAGAAAAAAAAATTTATTTTTTATATATATAATAATATATATATATCTAATCTTATACACAATATATATAGCATATATTTGGATGATATAATATAATTAAACTAATATACAAGAAGAAAAAATAAATTAATTAATAAATTAACAAACAAATAATTAACAATAAATAAATTAATAAATTATGGAAAAATATTAAAGGTTAAATCCTTTAACAATTATTTTTGGTAATAAATCTTGCTTTGGTACAATTTCTTCAGTAGAAGTATCATTTTGATCTTCTGACATTATCGCAATAACTCCATCACTACCTCGATGAGTTCTTGTGAACCTTTTCATCGATTCTTGCTGCAAATGTTTTACATCCTCTTTATTATTATCATTATCGTTATCATTATCGTTATCATTATCATTATCACTATCACTATCATTATCATTATCATTATCGGTATCATTATCACTATCATTATTATTATCATTATTATCATTCTTTTTATTACCATTACTATTACTATTATTACAACTAACAATATTATTGACTGATAATGATGATGATGATGAAATCGTTGATATTCCATTAATTCCATGTTTTTTAGATTTATACAATTTATCCAATTGATCTAAAGCTTCAGGTGAAAAATCTACATCAAATAAATCAACGACTAATCTTCTGGTAGGCAATCGATAATGATATAACGACAACATTTGTAATACTTTAAAATAAGTCTCAAGTTTGGTAAATATTTCAGGATTTTTTGATCTTATTCTAAAAATTACAATCATTATAATGATATTGTTATTATTATTATTATTATTAAAAATAATTCATGTATTCATTCAATCAGTTGTCGATCGACAAACACTCACTTTGCTAAAGCACGTGATCCTGTACTTGACAATATTCTATTTGTTAAATTTGACATTGCTTTTAATAAGTCTCTTTCGATTTGATTATTTGATGATGATAGTGGTTTAATTAATTTATCTGCTGGATTATAAAAACCTTTATAATTCCATTTAGGAAACTAAATAAAAAATTTATATTAAATTTACTATTTGTAATAAAGTTTTTTTGATGAAAAATAAAAATATTTTTTACCGAAAGAAATGCTTGGGAATTCATTGGGACACATAGTCCTGTACCAACTCCTGTATCTGGATCATAAACACTTTCCCATTCTAATTCCTCCAAAATCTCAACACCTGATGCAGTCTTTGCTATTAAACCCAATACAAAATAACAAGTTCTAATAATTCAAATAATGATATTTATTATTATTATAATATATATATTTTTAAAAGATTCTTTAATAATATAATAATATAACCAAACAAAATAAATATAATATGAACAAACCCTTTCAATGAGAGAACCGAAGAATTTTCTGCGATACATTTAATATTTGTAATAATATTTTCTTCTTCAAGAAACTGTAAGCCACTCTTTGACGATCCAATATTGCCCTTTAAATAATCAAATACACATTAATTAACTTTTTAAATTTTAAAAAATTTTCAAATTTGCAAATATATCTTACAATTGCCCACAGAATTGATTTTAGCTTTGTGATAATTGATCGATCTTTATTCTCCATTTTATGTTCACGTATATAGTTTGCAAATTCACAAAAATGTCCTTTCTCTCTCAATAATTGACATCCTTCGTCTGTCTTGGTCAACTCTCCGTAGAAATGTGGCAGAGTTGTTTCGTTAAATGTTTGTCTGGTAAATTAACTTTTATCAATAAATAATCTATCAATCTAAATCATGCGCAAAAAATTGGTTTTTATTTACTTTATATCTTTCTCATCTTTTCTGTTTCTTCCGTCATCGCCATCAAGATTCAATGATTTTGCCAGAGAAACTTCCAATTGTGTTACATAATATTGATTACGACTCTAAAATATTGATTATAATTACGTGGAAATTAATTTAAAGACTTTCCGAGGTTCCGCAAGTGGTTCACATTCGCTGCAAATATCCTAATCATCATACCTGAAACCATTCATCCATCTCTTTTTCAACATAATCAAATTCATAAAGATATTTGAACCCAATCGATGTTGACAGAAATCTCAATAATAATGGATTCCCAATTTCACCTAAATGATCAAGACTTGGTCGTAGCTTTACAAGTAATTCTATGTTTTCTTTATGATTACACGTTTCCTCCAGCACACGAACTGCCATTTGACAAACTTCCATTGCCGGATCGTAAAGCTAATTTTTTTTATCATTACAACAAAAATAATATTTTGTAATGATTAATAAATAATATATTTTTCAAACGAATTGGAATATGTAAATATATATAATGTAATTAACCTGTGTAATCAATAATGGTATTCCCCATTCATTAAACATTTTGGACGACGTTCTTAAAATTACACCTAAATGTTTGGTGGCATATAATCTTACACGCTAATTTATTCAAAAAATTGAAAATATTTAATTAATAAAGAATGTTAAAATTAACAACATCAGCCAAGTGATTGATTGATTGATTGAACAAATAAATACTTTGTATCCTGAAGTCATAACTTTAGATAAAAGAATACGCGGATGACCATCTCTAATCATATAAACAATTATCAATTATATTAACATACATACATAGATGAACGGAATTATATAAAAATAAATCAACATACAGACTATAATCTAAATTTGTGATGATTGCTTTAATTAAATCTTCGCGACTTTTTAATTCACTTAGATGATAAAATGTATTAAATATTTTGAATTTTTCTAATAATCTTAAAAATAAATAAAATCCGTTAATAAAATATATCAGAATGGGTTGAAAAAGAAAAAGAAAAAAAGAAATGTAATAATCAGTTTATTTACTTGACTCCATCTCTGAATTTGCTTAAAACTCCAAGCATTTTGAAATATCCTGATGTTAATGTAACGTTAAGTCTTTCTTTTGAAAAAAATGGTTCAGCTTCAAAACTTCCGTTAATCTTTGATTTTAGGAAGAAAGGTAAATTAACATGTCGATTTTTCTGAAACTAAAAAAAAATAACTAAAAAAAACTCTTACTGGGTCAAGTTGATTAAGGCCATCGGCAATTTGTCTTAAAAATTTATTTCCTTCCAAAAATTTCACGCCATCAGGATTTGTTAATAAAGTAGTTATAAGAGTACAACCTAATTGAGTATAACGTTCATTTTCCTAATATGTTTTTTTTTTGATTGGATAGATTGTACATGTAAATTTTCTATCGATAGGGAAAAAAACCATTATCATGGTTTTTTTCTCTTCTTACAAACCGGACTCTTTTCAACTTCTGAGAACCGTCGTTTATTGGGCCGAAAGAAACTAATCAGCTGCTTGATGAATTTTATTCTTATGACTTCTTCAAGTCTTTTAGGATTTAATAAAGGTCCTTGTAGTAATTCCATCGCTATTTCTAAATTCCATTTTGTAAAATCTTTACTAGCTAAAATCTAAACATATAAAATAATTTAATTATTATAGTAATAACAATAACAAGAACAATAATTAAATTAATTAATTAATAAAAAATAAAAAATTTTCATTTAAGAATAAAATGAAATAAACAATCCAGCATAAAAAATCTTTATAAAAAATAATCATAAATATGGAGAATAAAAGCACCTGAGAATCTAATAACATTGCTCTAAATTGTCCATCCTCAATTTGTATTCCCATTTTAAGTTTAACATTTTCTACTTGTCGAACCTGCCTTTTGCGAGGAGTTGAGGCTCGGTTATGTTCATCTATGCCGCTGGATTGAAGACGACTTCTAGTCCTATTGAGATTATCAATATGAGATAAAGCAGCCGTTGCACTATGTCTAACGATCTCATCATCAAATTTTGTTGCCAATTTGAAAAGTCCAGGTAATGACTAAAAAATGTACACAAGTTTAATGATAACATTACATTGTTATATTTGTCATTGATTATAATTACTATTATTAAAAAAAAAAAAAATCAAGATTCCATACTTGTATACGTATAGAGCGAGATACCGATAACAATCTATTTGATAATTGTAAAAGTTCACCGATAAAAAGAGTAGCCTTTCTAGCGATATGTTGATTTTTATCTTCAATAATTTCTACTAATACCTTTCCATTAAATAATATTATTTGAAGAATAATTTTTTAAAATTTTTAAGTAAATCATCAAATAATTTTAAATCGTTATTTTTTTTTTTTTAATAATTCGTCAGATAATTTAAAATTTCATATTTGCTTGATACCTCTAGAAGACCACAATCAATAAAAATATCCAGTAAGATCACTAAATGATGCTCTAACAAATTGTGTCGATCTTGAGTCCTGGATATAATAGGTTGTGATTCATTACGATTTTTGTCTTCGAACATTGAATTACCAAACACTAGAAAATAATTTAAAAAGTTATTTAAATATAATAAAATTTAAATGACAATTTTTTTAGGAAAAAAGTTTTTATAATTTACCAGTAATCCTTTTTCCAGTCAAAAAATTATTATACCAACTTGGTGTTTTTATCCGAAATATATCGAAAAACATATCAAGCATGATTTCCTATGGATTGTCAAAAAATTTCTAATCGAATAAGAAACATATTTTTTATTCTTTATAATTCCCGATATATTCAATTATTATAATTGTAACAATAAAAATACACATATATTATACATACACATATAAATTTATATATATATGTACATATGTACTAGTGCTATTTTTTAATATCAAGAAATAAATGACCCACTGACCCGTGTTTCATCAGTTGTGATTCTTAAAGACCCTACAATAGATTTAATTGCTTGTTTATCATTCATACAAAAAAATATAATTCCAGTCCACGATTTTAGCAGAACAGCAATTGCCCTCGAACTAGCTTTTATCTGTTGCTCGTATTTTTGTCCTTTATTACAAGCATCTGTAAATCCAGAAAGAACAATCTTTTATCCGAGGAAAAAAAATTTCAAAAGTTTTAAGATACTATTAATTGTATGGAAATAACAGACAAGTATTTAAATTGTGAGAAACCTCTAAATCAACTCCCGGTCTAATACATTCTCTAGAATCAGGTAGATCTATAACATATAATAAAGCCATAATAAGATATTCAACGATATCTAAAGGACCATCAACCAAGGCTTGAAGTAAAACTCTCATTCCACCACAATAGGTTACTAATTTTGGATCTCGAAGCACTAAAATATTTAACCCCAAAGAAAATTAATATAAAGCTATTGATTGTGTATGTATCTATGTAATATTTACATAATTCAGCCAGGGTCTCCAAGCAAATATTTCTTAATTTGTCGTCTGATTGCTCTGCAATAGAGACAATAGAACGTATAATACCAAATGATATATATTTTGTTCCATCAGGCACATCAGAAAATGCTCTAATCAATTTCAGTACTTGCTCACGTTCATCGTTGAATGAACGTGGATCTTTTGCCAGAGATCTATAGTAAATGGAAAAAGTTTTTTGATTTGAAATGAATTAACCTGTCAACATTTCAAATGATGTGTAATAAATCGAATAGTCAAATTTACCGTATAATAAATACTTCATAATGTAAATTTATTATTTTATCTAAAGTACTTGAATCTGCAATCAAGTATCTTAATGTTCGATATCCTGCAATTCTCACTTCTTTAACTGAATCTGATATACAAAATCTCAACCTATTAAAATATAAAATTATTTAAAAATCTTTGGAACTTGATTATTCATATTCATAAATTGCAATTGAATGAATAATAACCCTTTTAGAAATGGTTCTGCAGGATAAGTGTATTTTAGCCTTTCGTGATTTTTTATTAATCTAACCAAGCCATTTAATTTATCAATTCTTATTCCAGGTTCTTCGGATCTATTCTGAATACAATTGAGAACATCTTGTATTATTTCTGCAGGAGTTTTGTTTTTATCTACGATTTATTAATATTATTAATATTAATATAATCAATGCATGAATGCGTGCAAGTAAAATTTGAATTTGCCGTGAAGATTCACCTTCATCACGTTCAACATCTGATTCAATTTGTCTTATTAAGTTCCTTCTACTTCTTAAAGAGACATCTGAAGGAAATGCTGCAAATCTTCTTCTATATGATCTAATGCTGCCTCCTTTAGTTATAAATGATTATTTTCAATGGTAATAATAATATTAATAATAATATTATCATTAGTAAAAAAAAATTATTAAATATTAATTCATGTGTCTATATAATCCACATATAGATTTAATCACTTTAAAAATCGACCAAAAACCTTCCACATCTGTCATAATTTCTAATTTTTGATTTTTACTATCAAATTATCAATAAATTACCAATTAATTAATTAATAATACTGTAAGTTGCATATTCAATAATAATTTAAATTTTTTGATATTCTAAAAAAATGGAAAAATTGAAAAATTAATTCTTACTTCATGATCATTAGTCAAAGAACGAAACGAAACAACGATTCTACAATTATTTTTTGAGAAAAAAATTTTTATAAATATAAAAATACAAGAGTAATATTGTCATACAAATAAAATATTTTGCCAAGTTTTACGCTGATCGATGAAAAAATAAACTTCCAAGATTAATACTACTACAGTGCCATTAATAAAATCGTCATTTAATAACTAGTAGCATAAACTTTTTAATGAAAATGTATAAAAATGCTGCATTGATTATGTCTAATGAAGAAAGCAGAAAGAATTATTTTAAGAAAATCGTGAACTTTTAAAGTGTGTTTTGTAAAAAAAAGTTTATTTAAATGGTTGGTGAGCTAAGAGAATAAGAGAATGTAACGGGTGTAAATCAATGATAAAAATTTGTTTATTTACAAGATCGGATCTTCGTCTCTTCCAACTCAGACGGACAACTTGAAATTAACTGAACAAGAGATCACGTATTTGACTGTGATGAAAATAAAAACGGTTTTACTTAATTCGAAGTTCAGATTAATTGATAATGAATTATTGTTACTTGCTACGGTGTAACTAAATTATCAGATAATGGCGGTCTTTGAACCAGTTCTTCGGTTTCAAATTTTGGCACAGTCTTTGTGTGAAAAAAATTTTGATTATTAATTTTTGGGAGAGCGAATTTAATTGACGACAATAAAAATAATGATCAAGTATTTACTAGTGAATAGTTTTAGGCACGATTTGATTACTCTCAAGTCAAAATTTGTTTTTATCTTCTTTTATTCAAGAAAGTTATTCTCAAAAGTACACGGAATTGCTAATTTCTGTGTGTCAAGATACCAATAAATATAATCAAATAAACTATTTAATTGTTAAACCTCTCATTAATCCCATTAATATAACAAAAAGTTATTATTGCTATCATCATGAGAATGAATTAAAACCTATTATCATCGTTCGTTACACTCTGCTATTGATAGACGGAAAAGGAAATTTTTTCCAAAATAAAATAAAAATTTTTTTAAAAAATATTAAGTTAAAAATGTCATTCAAGAAATTATTATCACCAGAAAGAGAAGATTTTGTATTTAAAATTCATAGAATAATGTATAATAATGCTTCAGCAAATTCACATGATAGAGAAAGTGAAAAGGATTATTATTTTTCATTGGTCAAAAAAAATAAGGAGCTTTCTGAAAATGAAAAAGAATATTGTAGAGAAAGACTGATTTATGGATTTGAATTAGATGATGCTATTTATAAATGGGGCCAACCAAAAGAATGCAACAAATGTAAATCAACAAAATATTCTGATAGATTCTGTGAAGGTTGCATTAGTTTACAATTACAGAGTCTTTTCATCACTTGGACATCTGGAAACAGCATAATTGATAATTTTATTCAACAATGTCAAATACTCTCATCTTTGCCAAACAGCATTTTAGAATGGATACCTTTTGAGCAATTTAAAGAAGTAACAAAATTAACTGAAGGTGGATTTAGTTCAATTTATAAAGCTATGTGGACAAGAGGAAATATAATTGATTATGATGAAAATAAAAAGGAATTTTGTTATTTTGGAGAAAAAATTATAGTATTAAAATGTTTAAATGATTCAAGTAATCCAACAAAAACATTCTTTGATGAGGTGATTGATTTTATTTTATTTGTAGCAAATAAATAATACTATATTTTATAGCATTAATTGATTTTATGTTTATTTTCAGGCAATGAATTATTGTAAAATTAAATCACCTATGGTTGTTCCTTGTTATGGTATTACTAAATTTCCAGATAATGGAAATTATGCAATGATCCTTATTTATGCATCAGAAGGAAATTTAAGAGATTATTTACAAAAAAATCATTCAAAGTTAACATTAAAAAATAGAATTATGATCTTTAGATATTTATGTGAATCATTATATCGTATACATGAAAAAGATTTAATACATTGTGATCTACATAGTGGTAATGTACTTATGGAAGGAGGTAATTGTTATATTACAGATTTAGGATTATGTGGACCAGTTGATGAAAAATCATCAAATAAAATCTATGGA